TATAACTCGAAAAGTACTCAATGAAGAAACATTTCATTACAATGTTTTGGAAAGCTCTCGAGGTCAGCTACAAGAATATGTAATAAAAAATAGGGGATGCCGTTTAAAAAAATTGAGGTGACTTTCAAATAATTCTTCAAGGTCAAAGCAATGGTACCATCTTATGGTCCCCTCGAAACCAAACAACTTTTGTCTGATTTGTAAGATTTGTCTGATTTGTAAGACAGTAAGATTTTAAAAGGCAATTTTGATAGTAAGATTTGAAAAGGCAAACCTGCCTTTTCAAATCTTACTGTTACTTTTTTATGTATATAAATATTTATAAAATATTTATATAATATTTAAAAAAAAATAATTTGAAATAAATATTTATGAATCTTTATTATAAATATTGTGTGCTGTCTCTGGATAAACCGTTAAAACATATATAAAACCGTTCTCTAACATATTCTGAATTTTGTTTTATCTTGGACAAATATCAAAAGTCTATAAGATATACTGATGAGGATATCCGTTTCATGTTCAAAATCGGATGTCTTGTGGACGTCCACTTCATATCCCTGGACAAAAGGATGTAAAATGGATATGAAATTGATGTCCTATGGATGTCTTGTGCTGTCTGGGTGCATATATCATGCGTATACAATATAAATTGTATACAATGTATACAATATAAATCGTCTCTCAGTTAAAGTGACAGTGACGAAGTAGGTAAGGTGAACGACCCAAGAAGCAGAGGTCTTAAGTTCAAATCCCAGCATAGTAAACAAATGTTCGAAGTACAATTTAAATTGAATTAAGTAGCGTGTGAAACAACCCAGACAGCACAATGTCTAAAGCCCGTATCAGACTATGGATTAAGATTGAGATTGAATTGAAAATTGGTCAATCAGAGGAAAGTTCACCAAACTTGAGCCTAATGAATTTTGCTCTGATTGGCTTAATTTTAATTCAATCTCAATCCTAATCTATAGTCTGATACGGGCTTAAGGTTGGTATTCATAATCAGATCTTATATTTAAGATTGCTTAAGTTCATCTTTAGATACTCTGTAGCCAATAAAATAACCCGTACATCATCTAAAGATAAACTTAAGCGGTCTTAAATATAAGATCTGATTATGAATATCGGCCTATAAGTGGGACATAAGACGTCTTTAATAGCGTGTTCGACTGGCCCTGGGTTAATCGCTTCGAGAGCGATTAATGACGTCATAAATCTCTACTATCATAAAGCTTATAAGTATTTGTTTGACCAATAAACGCAGATTGAATAACCCTGAGTGGCTTAACCCAGAGCCAGTCGAATATGCTATAAGACGTATTTAAGTTGTCTTTAAGGCAAGTTTATAAAGTATTGTCTTAAAGATGTCTTAAAGTTGCCTTAAAGATGTCTTGACTATAGCCGGTATTCATACTCGAATCTTATTTCAAGATCGTCTTAAGTAATGTCTTAAGATGCGAATACGACTCTGTGATTGGTTCATGACATCTTAAGACAGTACTTAAGTTGATCTTAAATATAAGATTTTAAGACAGTACTTAAGTTGATCTTAAATATAAGATCTGACTATGAATACTAGCCTATGACTCGATTTTGGACATTTGTGACGTCTGGGAAAATGGAAAATTTAAGAAAAAGTCAGGAAAAGAGAAAAATGTTTATATTTTTATAAATATAAATGTTCTGTTCATATTCTTTCGGAATCTTCTATAAACATTCATAACTTAATATATAAAATATTCGGTAGATTATTCTATTCACATTCTGAGAATATTTAAATTAGTGCCATTCGAATGTTCTACGAACACACAATGAATATATACGAATGTCCTATGGAATATTCCAAATATTCTTGAAGAATATTCTTAAAATTTTCATAGGATTGTCTTGTGCTATTTGGGAAAGAGCGTTCAGCAAAACATCTAAACTGTTGCAATGTATCATTAAACCGTTTACAAAGCGCTGAGTTCTGCTGAACGCAGCCCTGTGGTCTGTTCTTTTTAGCTGCATTGCTTAACTGGTGCAATAAGTTAAAGTAAGACAAGTATATTTTTTCTCACTCTAACTTATTGCACCAGTTCAGCAGTGCAGCTGAAAAGAACAGATCATAAGTATTCCTTTTTCTAGTCGACTCACGTGGTACGAAAACAATAGCTACGCTCATTCCAGTTTGATCAGAGTTTGCTGCACACAAATTATATATTTTGTATCAAAAATTTTTATATTTTAATTATTAAGTTATGATATAATTTATGTAGATTGATAATACTTTTTAATTTTTTACTATGGTTTATTTAATTGTTAACTATGGTTGTTACTAAGAGTGGAGTCTTATGGCACGTATTTCCGTATACCGCGTAAGGGTGCGTTTAAATGGAGAAAGAAATAACGCAACGGAACAATTAAGCTGAAGTCCCATAGCATGTATCTTCCGCGTACCGCGTAAAAGCGTAATCAATAAATTGCGACGTTTAGTATTTCTGTTGGAACTTTTAAAAGAATAGAAAGATGTGATTGGTTACGCGGTTACGCATCAAGCGAAAATACGTGCCATGGGACTCCACCCTTACGGGGAAAAGAGATATAATGGACATCAACCAATCAGAATAATTCCGCTTTTATTCCGTTCCGTTGTGTGATAGGTGGGTTTTATATGGCACGGAACAAAAACGGAAAACATAATAAATATTGTGTGCTGTCTGGGTCTGCTCAAACATTTCTTTCTCGTTTACCTTCATAATTTCACGTTAACTTTGAAAATATTTTATATTTCAATAAGTTTGTATATGTTAACGACTAAAACACATTTAGGTTAAGATGTGTTTATTTCTTTAAAGTCTGGTTGTACCAACATTATTTTAGCTTTAAGCAAAACTTAAACATATATCTATCTTTATCTTTCTTTCTAAATGAATAAAGACAGATGTATATTTAAATCTTGTTTAAAAATAATGGTGCAACCGGGTCTAACACTTACATATCAATAAAATAAAAATATATCTTTAATTATCCATATACATTTGCAGAATACAAGTTAATTATAATAAAACTTACAATGTATGTACTTTTCTATTTACTTCTCAATATTCATTACTTACGAAGCGTGTAAATATCTACGCAACATTCGTGCAAGTTTCTCTTCATCCGCTAATCCGATCCGTATCCCACGGACACGATTTAGTAATTCGATTAGCCTAAGGAACTTTTTCTCTAGACAATTTATATCACTGTGATTAATCCAATTGGAAATCCGATTGCTACACGTAAACATCCCTTTATTTAATGGTGCATCCACCATAAAATAAAAAAAAACAATATCATATATCTCTCTTGAAACCGATCATTGATCTGAGAAATTAAATACATTTTTTTATTTTTTATATATTTAAGCGTTTCACCATATAAATTTAATTATTTAAATGTCGGACTCTGTACATAGTTTAGTCATATATAAAAATTTGTGCTTGCATGGTAAGACTTTAAAATATAACTGCGACTGTATGGTAGACGATCTCTTAGAATTTTGAATGATGAGCTTGATGAAACTGAATAAGATTGTATAATAGAACAGACCCTATAAATAATTGCAGGTTTGATTACAAGAAAGCAAAAGAGGCTACAAATAATTGCAAACCTAATTACAAGAAAACAAAAATTTCTTTAAGAAAAGATAACCATGGAAGAGACTCAAGTATATGATTTTCAAAATGCACCTATTAATATACTGAACGATGATTGCTTAAAACATATTTTTCAATTTTTACCAATTGTTGACAAAATCCGTATAGAAAGAGGTAAGAAATTCAACAAATATAATTTACAGTTATTTCTATTGCTCAGATAGATATATTTCTTTATATTGTCTGCTGAGTGATTATATTTATACTATTATGATCAGGGTTGGGAACGTTACTTTTTAAAAGTAACGTGTTACCGTTATCGTTACTTGCGGTAAAAAGTAAGTCGTTACCGTTACTCGTTACTGATTCTAAAAAGTAACGCGTTACCGTTATTTGAAAAGTAACGATAAAAAAATCGTTACTTTCCGTTACTTTTGAAAAAAAAAGTTAAAATCGGCTTATAAAACAGTAAGAGAGGCAGTACATAAATTGTACATATATAAAAACAAAATATAAGATATTTAAACGAGAAGCACACATTCTTGCATAACAACATAAAGCCCATTCTACATTAGTCGCAAATCGCAAAGTCGCAAAGAAATTGACTATCATGAAGAATAGTCAAGTATGATTGGTCAATTTCCTTGCGATCTTGCGATTGCGACTAATATAAAATGGCTTTAGAGGCGCCGCACACGAGTTGACATAACAATACGTAAGACGTACTGTAAAAATGGACCAATTACAATCGAGTATTCACCGAAATGGCGACCTTACGGTTCGACGATACTCAAAGTGATTGGTCAATTCTTACGGTACGTCTTACGTTACTGTTCGTCAATTTGTATGCGGCGCCCCTTAAGCGTAGTCTACAATGAGAATTTAAGCCATAAAATTTAAGCTTTAAGTCCTAAGCCGTAAGAAGTTGACCAATTACAGTCAATTATAAGAAAAATAATTGACTGTGACTGATCAATTTCTTACGACTTAGAACTTAAAGCTTAAATTTTATGGCTTAAGTTCTCATTGTAGACCACGCTTTAGAGGCTTTCTACAATAAGCAATAAGTTTTAAGTCGCAATAAAATTGACCAATTACAGTGGATTATTCTTCTAATAGTCGACTATGATTGGTCAATTTAATTATGACATAAAATTTATTGCTTATTGTAGAATGGGCTTTACGGAAACCAGCACATGAATTGTTTATCGTGTGCAAACTTTCGTCGCGTGGCAAGCGTTGCCACGATCTGTGTACAGAAACCACTATAGTAAAAATGTAACGATACAAGTAACAATGAATTTCGTTACTCGTTACTAAAGAAAATGTAACGCCGTTATTTTTTCGTTACTGATACAAAAAAGTAACGGCGTTACCAAATCGTTATCAAAAAAAAGTAACGAAATAGTAACGTCGTTACAAGTAACGCGTTACTT